GTGATATCACGATACAAGGGTATAACGATACAATAGATCCAAATGAAACACAATTTGTAACAAATGAAATCATATATAACAACTCAACGGGCGCTGCTTAGCACCAAGTCGGTCGAAAAAATGAGTTGTATCCTTTCGTGTTCCACCTTGACGAAAGGGCACGACCAATGCCGCAGAAACTCTTGCTCCCCGAGGAAGAAAAGCTCTTCGGAGAGGAACGCGAGGATCTCTCGTCTCATTCTCCCCAGTATCGGCCACAAGGCACGCCGGCGGCAATTGGCAGCTACGGCCTCACATCGGTTTCTCCAAAGGCTGAACAGCCCCGCAACTATTAAGAGAGCGGAGAGGCGGCTACGCGGAAATCGGCCGTTGGACACGAAAGTTCGCACACCCTGTCCCCGAAAACCAGCATTAACCGCACGCCAAAAAAGGCGGGAAACCACACATTCAAACGTCGCATGTCGATTGGTCTCTACCATGACGCAGTTGGGGCAAGTGGAGGTGCGAACTACCTGCCATCGCTGCAATCGATCTCGCGTGGGGAGCAAGCCCCAGCCCAACCTCCAGACAAAGTCTCTGAGATGCCCTGGCAACACCGCGGCAGTTATTGGTTTCCAAGCGCGGTTCAATACAGATTGACGATGCTGGGGCACCAAGTACTGCGCTTCCGAGCACTTGGACGACTGCATTTCCTGGAATGGAGGAATAAAAGCGTTTGGACGGACCAATGGGATGGTTCTTAGCACAATACGATAGATGAAAATAAAAAAAATGGCAGCATATCCACGGAATGAATGATGGAGAGTGGGGCGAAGCATCCGTCCATCCATTCGTTCTTGCTTCCGTCTGTCCATGCGTGCGTCTGTGTGGCCGCCCGTGCGTCCTTCCGCCCGTCCGTGTGTGCGTCTGTTCGTGCGTCCTCACGTCCATCTTCCCGTTCGTCCCTGCGTTCGTCCTTGCATTTGCTCCTGCGTCCGTCCATGCGTCCATCCGTGTGTCCGTCCATGCTTCTGTCTGTGTGTCTGTTCGTCCACATATTCAACACTTCAAGCACCACCATCTCGCATCTTTTCATCATATATTCCTCATATAGAAGCGCCGCCATCCAGTGGACATTCCAAGGACTGAATGAGAGGACGCACACGCACACTTTCTTACGGCTTGCGCTTCGTGTCTACTTCCCACCTTTAACCACCTCGAGTTCATGGTATATACTAGTTCACTGTATTCATGGCACTGCGGCCCAACGCTCGCTAAACATTTCTAAAACCAAGGAGAGGTTACGCCCAGCGAGTATAACGTAGCAACCCTTTCTTGTCAGATAGTGCTCAATGTACATGCCAATGGCTGCTAAGGGAGAATGAGAGACAGGAGAATTCAGCTTTTAGCTAAAGCGTACGCTGCGAATTTTTCATTGTTCAACAACGAACAGAAGAAATCTCCCACCGGCATCTTCTTGGAGGTCAAGTAGCCCCAAGACCACCATGGCGGTTGTGGTGGTCTAGTGGCTAAGGTACTCGGCTGCTGACCCGCAGGCCGCGGGTTCGAATCCCAGCTGCGGCTGCTGCATTTCTGATGGGGGCGAAATGTTGTTGGCCCGTGTGCTCAGATTTGGGTGCACGTTTGAAGGGCCACTCACCAGGCCCCATACCTATTTTGAGTTAGACAGTGGAAGTAATTGGGTGTCCTATGAGGAACATTTTGCCACTAAAGTTTTTCGAATCGGTGCATCACGAGCGCAGAAAACAGGTTTTTTCAAGTGGCGCGAAACGAGGATGAGAGGAGGCGAACTCGAAACCCTTGCCGCTCCTCCGCGTAGCCTTCGCATGCCAAATGTCTTCCCCACCATCTCCAGCACCCGACCATGAGGTGGGTGTTCTGTGATGAGGTGACGTGCGCATGACGTGCCCAAACAAGTCCAACCCCCGAGAACGCGAGCAGCGTTGCTTTGTTGACCAGCGTTATCTTGTGGTCTTCTGCCTGTTTCTGCGGGATTGTTTGGAAACGCTGGCTTAGACGCGGTAGAGTAGATGAGCACAATGAGTGCGCGAACGCGTAGGAGCGTTCCACAGCGGTCGTCTGCTCAATGCGCTGACCGCGGGGACACGAACCCATGCGAAACACTGGCACATTAGCCTCGCATCTCGTAGCATTTCACAAAAAAAAAGAAAAGAAAAGAGCGCATAATTTTATTGTGTGTCATTATTTTTCCCATGTTTTAATAATCTCTTAAAGTAAAATACATAAACTACGCATGTTGTGTTAAATAATTGTTGCCATGTCACGTGGTATACTGCTGACAACGTCAGAGCAGACTCGTCTACGTAGAGGACCAACGTCACTGCATTGCCGCGTACGTAGGGCCATTCCTACGCCTACGTCATGCCCTCATTCTCTACGCGTGCGCCGGCAGAGGGAAGGGGGAGCAGCTGTCATCTTGAAATTTGACCCATTTTCGTGGCGCGTAGCGTTGCAAAGTTTGACAGACGTGATCATGAACGCCTGGTTTGCGCATTGCGTTTCTCAGTTCAAAATTGTCAAACCTCGTGAGTGGCCCCTTAAAGAACCCCAGGTGGTCAAAATTTCCGGAGCCCTCCACTACGGCGTCTCTCATAATCATATGGTGGTTTTGGGGCGTTAAACCCCTAATATCAATCAAAATGTAAGACTGGTTACACACTACTACTATGACAACGAGGGACGAACGGCTGCCGCTATGAGGAGCTTCGCCCCTAAAAAAGTAGTGCTTCAGGAACACACACAGCAATACTCTGTTGCTTTATATGGTCGCTATGGTAGAGGTTCATGTATTTAAGGTGTGGCTCAATATTGATTGTATGGCGCGAAGGATCACAACCACAGGGGAAGATACAGGAGAGAGAGCTTGTTTGGCGATTGTGTTCCTTCACACTTTATAATTAGTTATGAATGTAGACCAATCACCCAGCGAAACAGCTATTCTAATTGGCATCATATGCATGCCGATTCGATCAGAAAACTTTAAGTCAATTCGTCTCTCCGCAGCGTTAGACGAATATTGATATAAAAAAGTAAACAATAAAACAACATAATTTCACGGAGGAGCAGACTTTTGAGGCCGTGTCCTCACACTCTAGAGTGGATACGTTAACCGCAGGTGTTTCACAAATCAGAATTTCTTGCGAGTTGTTGTGCCAGAATACGCTAGAAGTGCTCCAAATAAGACACCAACTGGTCAGCACCTTAGACGTATCAGCAAGTAAAGCTTAGTATTGCGTTCTGTCTAGAAAAAAATTGAGACCATCTCCCTGAAGGAAAGCCTGATGGGATGAATGCAAAGCAGCAGTGGTACGCACGGTGTTGAACTGGTGGAAACGGGCGTCGACGCGGGTGTTGGAAGAAAGTTCCAGCTCGGGAAGTTGCGGCGGGTGAGGCGGGCAACGGTAATCGTGCATGACGCTCATCGTCGGAGCCTCGCCCGACGTCAGCGCCGCCTAGTCAGTGGCCCAGACCGCGAAGTCGGATGGGTCCACGCCGATCTCGCGTGCATGCATTCAGCCGCTGCCTCCTGCTGCTTGCGGTTGCGGACAGAACTGACGTTGGACTGGTGGTTGTCGAACCACAGACGATCGCACGCGCGGCAACTGTGACCGAAGCTACGTTGGAGGAACTCTCATCGGAAGCTGGCATCGGCCCCGGCGTTTTTGGCCGCGTCGCGGACGGCTCTCGCCACGCGAGGGCGCGATCAGCGTTACGGTAGCGAGACGTCTCCAGATCCGCCGGCGGAGTCCGGCGCTTGCGGGCGAGCGCTTCGCCGAAGGGCGCACGCCACTTTCGCAACATTGCCGACGACGTCGCCGATGACGTCGAGGATTCGTCGGCCTTGGCCTTTCGCTCTCAGCGCTTCCACTCGGCTTCCTTGGCTTGGGTCTCGCCGCTGTTCCGACGCGTTGAAGACGCTTGGGCTCGACTTCTTGGGCTCACGCCTCGTTGGTGTTGCCCGCCCGCCGTATCCATTCTCGAGTGCGATCGGCGTGCTTGACTCATGCCTAGTCAGTGTTGTTGGTTTTACACTGCCGACGCTAGCCTCTGGCTGCCCTGGCTCGCGCCTCGTTGGTGTTGCAGGCGCAAGGTAACTATTCGCGAACGCGATCGGCTCTGCTGATCCTCGCAACGCTGGCGATGGCCGGGTTAAGGCTGTCTCACATGCAGCGAAAAAAAAAATCGTTCCGTTCGCTCTAGTCACACTGTTCGCAGTCGTCCCTAATGGCGGTTTCGTTTCACATGGATCACATACGGTCCGCGATTTTCAGTCTGCGACTTGAGCAGTGAGTTCTTGCCACCGCTCATTGTGACAGACATGAATATAAGGTAATATGTGCATTATGATATCATGAAGTTACCGTGAACGGTAACAAAGGGCTTGCTTGTTTCGCCATTTAAGAACACTTTCCCGTCTGAATTCATTTTAAAATGCGCAGCATCGGCCATTACCAAAACAAACACGTCGACTCTATTTCCACGGCTTGTCGGACCAGCCCTACTTCGACAGGTTCCAACTAAAAATCGCTCCCGCCGCTGCAATCAGAGCGAAAATTTCCAACACGTTGGAAGCTCGCCGCGGACCGCTTCTTGTGCCATGTGAAGCGGCCTTTAGACGAAATTGCTTCGGCACACTATACGGTGGACGAACGCATCGCAGATAAGCGAGTCGAAAGAGCGTTCACCCGATTCACTCGATGTGTTCACTCGATGAGCCCAATGAATGTGTTCGTAAAAAAGTAAGCCATGGTTAACAAGCAAGAATATCTCTCGATGTGTGTGCAGCGGACCACATTTACAAATCACTGACTCAATGATGGGCTAGTTGGTACATATGCATGATTAAAATTAATTTAAACAAGGCCCAAGGAGCTCAAGAGCGAGATTTCTTCTCAACCTTATAGTGATGCTCCAAGTACGTTTTATTCATTACGCCTAAAAACCCCAACAAAAAGTTATGCCTCTTTGCTATACTGCAGAGGAAACGTCCTGGGACTGCCTGTGTACAAGGAAGGTGGCACATGCAGCCGCTGTGCAGCTGGCACCACTTGCGAGAAGGCTACAGGACTGTGCGTGGTGGATGAAACCGAGTAAGTGTCACTGAACAGGTGCACCACGTTACGCACTTATCTTAATACCTTGAAAGCACCGTGCAGATTTTCGCTCTCTGTAAACGAGAAAGTATTGCTACAAGTTGCATACTTTCTATTTGCGAAACAAAAAATAACGACGTTTGTTTTTCTTTATCACATCCTGAGACAATACATCCTATGAACAAACGCACAAGCAACAATAACTGAAGTATTTTCGCACTCTTTTGAATGTTGTATGCATTTGAAAAATCAGGAAAACAATCCTAGGCACTTTCTAGTTATCTTAGCACCTTAGACCGCTACGGTCGTGTAGTCGTGACGGTGCTCGGCTGACACGAAAATCTTGAGTCCGATCTCGGCCGCGGCATTTTTATGGGGCCAAAATTCCAGAGGCCCGTATACTGTGTTATGTTAGCGCACACAAAAAAGACCATATAGTAAAATTTTTGGGCAGACCTCCACTATACGGCTGCGCTTACTACATATGGTCGCTATAGAGCGTAAGGCTCGACAAATTATCTTGACATCATATTTTTGTAGGCCACACAATTTGTATGTACCAACAAGCAACGGTGAGGCAACACATTTTGTTGACCCATGTAGAGACCAAGAAGGAAACAGCGTGAGAAAGGGAAGAAATAAGGATGACCACAGAACACAAACGCTGACCAACAACTGTTTGTAAGTTTGTTACAACAGAAAACATATGGCAAAAAAACATGGACAGGACTAAAGCCATCAAGTGCACAGAAAGATGAAATGCAGGATGAATCTACCACTAGTGGAAATGCCCCAAGAGCTCAAAAACAATCCTTTTTTTTTTTTCGAAGAGAGCGAGTGATGGCATAGCGACGTACACGTTCCCTTTCTTTTTGATATGGAAGGCTGCAAACTTGGGACACTTGTACTCGTGGCAGGTTTATCTTGCACTATATCTATATGCGCACGCGACTGTTTAAGTCTTGATTCTTTTTTTTCAGCTATGTATTTTCTGGTGTAATAAACTTACACACGCTTTGTCGTCAGCACGTGTGTTGTCCGGTCATTCATACTTCGCCTCATTGTTGCGCGGTTTACTCCTCTGTATCATGTCCTGTAGCAAGTATGTTCAAAACACCCATGTAGAAAGCTTTTTTAACGTTGCAGTGCTGTCGCAGTACTTAACAACCTTCAGAAAACCATTTAGCAATGCTAACTTCAATATCTATTAAAATCTGCTCACCAAAACCTACCTAAAGCACCAATTTCCTATACATCTCGCTACGAACTTGCTAACAAAATTCTGGAAAGAACTGGTCTCGTGTCTGATCGATTCATACGAATGCTCAATGAAAATGTTTTAAAGACCTAAGTAACTTAGAAAACGAAGACGGTTCATGAAGATTATTTCAACTATGTCTTACCATCTGTCGTAAAAAAGGCGGTTACCTGTTGGTTACTGACACTTTATTTAAGGATGTTGATGCAGGAATTCCAGCTACCACCTACAGAAAAAAAATGACCTTTGATTCTGCCTTAGGACGTCATCAGTGTAAGCCAAATGTGCGAACAAACTGTCAGTGAAAGAAAACGTCATCTTTAAGGAGCATAAGGGGGAAAATACTGCAAGAGTGCATTAAGTTAGTTATTCAGAGAAATTAACGGTATATAAATCAATAATATCTACAGTATTTCTTTGTTAGAAAAGAGAAGAGTAAAACACAATTGAAATAAAAATCAGGGCGAGTGGATGTGACTAAGTCTCAAGCTCCACCGGCTAGGGCGGCTCGTTGGGCTTGGTTCTGGAGAGTGCACGAGCTGGGTCTACCCTGTTCCCGCCAGTGATGCAAGTCTTCCACTTCCGAATGTTGTAGCTTTGTGTTATTAGCGGTGTGTTGATATTTGTGAGCCCGATTTTACAATGCTGCTAATGTTTCTCGACAGTTGTTTGCTTATGCAGTGCTTTTTATGGCGTGTACTACTTGTAGGCTCGGGTATGTATCAATTTGCAAGTGTTTCTGGTCCGTGGCCGGTGATTCTATAATATTAAGTGGTGGTCCTACACGTTTCTGCCACACCTGACGAAGCGATTGCTCTGATCAATGAGGCTCACTTTTATTGCAATAGCAATTAAAAATAGACACTCTCAATTGTTCTGACGTGATGTTCCGTGTGCCGATTACAATGATAACGCCCTTCCGCGCATCGTATTACTCACAGTCAAATGAAGGCGAGCGGAAGTGACGAACGCGGCTGAAGCAATGATCAAACGAGCGGGCACACCTCCATGGCAGGGTTAGCGCATGCCATAACATCCTCCGCTTGTAACGCCTCTCGTCTAAAATAGTGCTCGAGAAGAGAGGAAACACCCCGCCTGCCTTGAAGAAGCATGAAGGGACTCCGGGAGCGGGGGAAGCTAGAAGAAACAGACGAAAAGCGAGGCAAGAAAAGCAAAGAGGAGAACACGAGCGCTGACTAGCAACTGAATTTTGTTATTCGCAGCACACATGATGATATATACAACATGCAACCTTTTAACAGCAAACGTGAGCAACGTGACATATTCAGAATACGTCACGTTGCTCACGTTTGCTGTTAAAAGGTTGCCTGTTGTATATATTATCATGTGTGCTGCGAATAATAAAATTCAGTTGGTAGTCAGCGCTCGTGTTCTCCTCTTTGCTTTTCTTGCCTCGCCTTTTGTCTGCTTTTTCTAGCACCTTCGTGCTCGCGCTGCAGCCCTTATTACCATGAATTCAAACCAACTAGCCCAAATAGCCATTCTTCTTCAGTTACTCGGGGCATCCGACAAAAAGGTGCGGCCGCGACAACAGGCGTATGCACTATATTGGACGCATCAGCGGACGGCTCATGCACCCGTCTACATGCAGTGCTCTCAACGCGATGAGACTGTGAAATCCGCTGCTCATCCAGGAGCGGCAGTATTTTCTTGCAGCAGCATTTTGTACAATTACGTAAAATCGGATACAAAAGAACTAAGTTGCAGCCTTCGTATTACATTACCATATTTCGCTGCCGCATACGTTGTTTCATCTTTGCGGGTAAGCTGCAATTTTTAATTTAAAAAAATGTTGCGATTTACGTGTGGACGCCTTCATTTAAGAAATGTATCAAGATATATAACGGATATTTGTGGTGAGTGTTTTCGTAGTTCACTCTCCAGAAAACTCTACTTTACGATGGGATAATATGTTGTAAAACCAGAAAATTTATTTAACCACAGAAGATAATTATTTCGTATAGGTGAAGTAGCACGCTTTGACAAGGACGAAAAGGACAGGGAAGACGCGAAGCATTCAGCTTCCCCTTTTTACTCGTGTCAATGTGTGCTACTAGAGATATGTGATTTTCCGGAACAATCATACATTCTCCCACTTTTCAACCACATGAAACTTCATGTCCAAAGAATAACTGAGGCTGTTACCCTCAATTACCATCTGTAGGATGCGACGAACTTCTTTTTGCTCCTATAGACAGCGAGAAACTCTCTCGTCGTTGAAGTCCCGACGTGTAATAACATCTTTCTATTTCGTGGCAGGCACGAAGACCATGGCCGCAAGGTTTGGAAACTTCGTGCGAGTGAAGTGAACTGGAGAGCCCTTGGCCTTGCCGTGGCGCTCATTATCTGGTTCTGCTTCTGAACTGCCACGCTCGCCACAACAACACGACGATCCATTCTATCACTGTTCTGTGACCGTGCGTTCCTTACAAGTACCTGATGAAACGTAAATTCTGTGCACGTCACCACTATTTTTGTATTTTTATCAAATTAACACTGTAAGTTGACTTGCCACTGTATCCGCAGCCCGAAGAACAATTTTTGTCGAAAACATTTTACAGGCGCCTGTTTCTTCTAATAGAAATGCACAGTGAGCTGTATTTGACGCTGGTCACAAGATGCTTATTGTTGAAGACCTGGAAGGGTGGATCTGACTTTTTTTTTTAACTATATTTATGAAGAATTTCTGGCATGCCATTTGTAACAAATAGACACGCTGTCAAGACAAACTGGAATGACATGTTAGAGACAAAAATAAAATACGATGTCGCATCCTGCAACTAAGTGTGAAATTTGTCTATTAGGTAATACTTGGGTGTTTGTTTTGAGCAAAGAAATTAATAGAGCGATTCAGTTGCTTATCAGATGTGAGAGGCTGATTTTTATTGTAGAGATGATGAACATGAATTTTAGATAATAAGAATTCGTGTGTGCTTGTGTGTACGTTCGTGCAAACCACATGAGAAATTATTTAGCTCAAAAACGGGGAAGAAATTCTCATAAACAAGAACACAAAGTTGCAGGATTAGCACACGCCCGGAGCTTGGCGTTTTTCTCCTCTTGCTTAGGATTTATTCATTTATTCTTTTGCAATAAAAAAAAACTCTGACGTGATCCAAATCTCACTAGCCCAACACAAAGTTCATTAAAATGCATACGAATCTGCGTGCTATAGTTTCACTGCCTGGAGTTGCAATTTAAAATATAAGCGAAACGGCAAGGTTGAATGCCTGATTATATTTTGGAAAGCTTGCCTGGACTCCGTGAGTTTGCAGCCACCGGGATTACTTTGTAAGCATTCCTGGAACCATCATTCTGATCGCGCTTGACGTGTTTCAGGATCATTCGGGTTTATCATTGGGTTTTTTTTGACGTGTTTCTTGCCAACGCATTTGCAGTTACTAATGCCAGCCTGAATTATTTTTACAGTCGTGCGTTGCCTGGGCTCATTGCTCAGTATTTAGAGGTTTGTCGTATACAAACGAGCCACGGGGCACGAGTGATTTCACATTTCAATGCCGAAAGAACGCACACTGAGAAAGCGTGCATTACACAGCAAAGTGTACCACGTGCTCCACCTATCGTTAGCCGAAGGTTGAAAAATACATTAGAGGCAGGTGAGTGAAATCACTTGCATTTTGCTGACAGCTAACTTGTGCAGTATAGAAAATTTTTGTTTTTCAATGAACAATGCCTTAATGAGAAAGGTTTAAGTAACTCGTTCAATCTTGACTTCAGGCAAGAATTGTGACTTGCAAAGTTTGAGAGCATCTTCGAAAACACGCATTGCACTATTTCGTCATAAAGTCTCACGTATAAAGTTTTTTTTTTTCACGAGGCAAAGATAGCCCCCAAAATACGGAAAAATCCTGGCACTAGCGCATCCGCGCAACAGAAACGTGATGCTTTCAATTGTGCTTTATACCACAGAGTTGTTCAAAATTAACTAGAGGGGGCTTTAGCACTGCGATCGTTCAGCGACCATAGGAGTGACGGGCAGTGCACAAATTTTCCAATACTTCGTACTTGCTTGCAGGCAGCGAATCGCACTTGCGGCTTCGTTTATTGCTGTGTTTCGGGTTCATTTTGAAGAGAAAGAACAAACCCTTTTGAACTTCGTGACTCGATTTGAAATGGTAAGCCTAAATCATAATGGCCGTGGAGAGCCACTGCTACATTTGTCAATCGTTGCTTCGTGACAAAGCAGCTTCAAGCCACGTAGAGCCAGAATGAGCTTAAAATACGAAATTTAGACAAATCCATATTACCTACCCATAATTTCCTTGCTCGCTGAGCCGCCATGTGTTGCCGATACCATAGCCACTAGCTTCAGTGTTTTCTATTGTGTTTGTATGGGAAATTCTGGTTTCAACGATTGAAATAAGCTGCGGTAGCGACTCACTGTATTCATTGCAGCGGTATGCCGTAGGGGGTGGCTTGCCCAATGTTGCACCGTCATGTGCGCCAGCTGGGTGGTAACGGCCCAACAAATCGCCATCAACTTAACCGCCTTTATACAACTGTAATAAGTACGGCGAGTCGCGGCTGCAGCCAATTTCGTTCGTTAAAACCAACAATGAGAGACGAAAATACGAACCAACGTTCGTGGTTACCGTATCGCTATTTAGATTATCAAATTGATAGTTTAGGCATCCGCGGTGAATTTCAAGGCTGTCGTAAAGGAGGCAGTACCATTAATCACCTGATTACAGGTGCTGTTAACACACATGGTTACACATGCATAGTGTTTGCGGCACGCGCGTGACACCGAGTAATAGACAAGAGCTAGAACACCGATGAATGCCACGCTGTTAGGCTTAGGGGTGTGTTAAAAGAGAGGCAACATTTTATTGCCACACCAAAACCTGTTGTACAAACGATTTTACGAGGGATGCACTTGTTGTGTGCTGGTCACCTATTCAGTGCTTTACGCCGAAATCTCTAGAAGCCTGGTCTTCATGTGCATTGTGCACGCGTCAGTAACGGAAGTGAAAATATGTATTAGAAGAAATACTACGAAAACAATAAATTCAATTTAATATTCAAACGGACACGTGTTAAGGAAAATTCAATCAATGAAATTTAGGCCTCTAGCGCATTTGTGACTACTACTAGTCGAAGGAAACGCGAAAATGCTTTCTTCGATACCATTAATTTTGCTAGATTTGATATATACTTTATATAGCCAAGAAAATGCTCGATAACAAAATATCAAGCAAGTTATCAATTTTATTCAGTACTCATATTTTCAAGTGTAGCAGTGTGATCAGTACCGCTCATAAGAACAAACTGTTTTAAGCATGTTTGAGGTAAAAATGAATACACAAATAAAAACAATAACACAAACGTCCCTTAATGGTTAATAAATGCATAAATAAAAATAATGTATTACGTGAATAAACTGAAAAACAGCAAGCAATGAGCACTTCTGCTAAATATCTATGCAAGCATCCTGTTTTTACATATACTGGTGAGATCACGTCGTTGCGCCTATATGCACTCCAAGTTAAATAAATTTATACCAAGTAGCACTTATTCAGGCGCCATTATTTTTCCGAGTAAGGTGCGAACATGCTTCATACTTTCGGAAATGTCTGCAATCAAGATGTAGGAACACCGAGACAACCGATACCTTACAAGTAATTGACCCAGTGCCTCGAGCTAAGGGGCCGTTTTCCAGTGAAGATTTGTCTATAGCTGAAATGTGTACAATTTCAACACCATTCTTAGCTCTTGCACGCCCACGATGAGGCGAATACCTCTTGTTTCAAGAATATTCAGTTATACCTTCCGAGTAACAGCTAGTTGCATGGCACCATTGTTTATTTATTATTTTCACTGCCCTCGTGATTCTATGAGGCTCAAGAATAACCTTCGTCTCTTTCGGGAGCAATTATTTAATCTATATATATACCCTGAATACTCACTATGCATTGCCGCAAATGTGAACTTCATGTGAACTATATTCTGTTTTTATACTTTGTTGTCTAATATGATTTAAGTTTTGTTTCTAGTTACCCGATCTCATCAACATCACCTTAATCCATTAAAAAAACAGACGTCAAGGACTTGAAATAAAAATAGAGGCCGAACACCTTACTGCTCGTTCTCTAGAATACATCTACAAAACTATTAGCTAATAGAATTAGGGTGACATAGAGTTCAATCAACCAAAGACCCAAGCAATACAAATGAGCGGTGGCTCGTGTTTGTAGCCGCGGCTACAACCAGGGTAGTCCAGAATAGACCATATCCAAACTATCAATCTGGCAATACAGAAATGCGCTGAATACAGCTAACCCCTATACATAAAGCTAATAGATTATGAGAAGCCGTTTGGCTCAGTCGAGATGAGTAGCTCAGGGGATGAACTACAGCTCATGATTACTGAAATGGACATAGAATGCAAAAAGAGTAGGTCTAAAAACTAATCTGCACAAACCTAAAGTAGGGTGCAACAGTCTTGGCAGAAAACAGCGTTTTGCGATAGATAGAGAGATACTGGAAGTTGTAAATAGATATGTCTACCGCGGCCAGGTAGTAACAGCGGAGCCTAACCATGAGAGTGGAATAACTAGAAGAATAGGAATGAGCTGGATCACAGTGGGCAAGCATTCTAGAATCTTGAATGGTAATCTACCGCTAACCATGAAGAGGAAAGTATTTACCAGTTGCATCTTTCCGGTACTTAACTAGAGAGCAGGAACTTGGAGACTTACAAAGAGGGATCAGCCTAAATTGAGGAGGACGCAGGCAGCGACTGAAAGCAAAATAATCGGTGTAACCTTAAAAGGCAAAAAGAGCGCAGAGTGGATCAGGGAACAATCCAGGGTTGAGGATATCATAGTTGAAATCAAAAAGAAGAAACGGACACGGGCCGGACATGGAGCACGTAGGCAGGATAACCGCTCGTCAATAAAGGTAATTGACTAGATTCCCAGAGAAGAAAAAAAATTGCCCGCAGCTTCCCTCGGGGGAACACTGAGGAGGATGCGGAGCATATAATTGGTTAACGGGGTGTTAAAGTGCGACTTACTTGGATCGATGGCTAAATTGGTTAACGTGGTTGTGAAATGTGGTGTTAAATTGCGACTTACTTGGGTCGATGGCTAAATTGGTTAACGTGGTTGTAGGAGGGGGTGTTAAATGAGTGAACACGTACACACGTATGCGAAAGGGCGGCGCTGGTCGAAGGGACGTCGATCATTGTTTTTGTGGATTCGTTGGAATTCATTTCACCGCGACCTTGGACGTCGACGCGCCGTACAAACCAACCGACGAGCGGCAACTGAGCGAGCGAGCGCCGACCTTGAGTATATACAGCGCGACGGCGCATGCACTGTCAGCTGTCGAATGTTCGAGAAGGGGGAGAAGCGCAATGGCGCATGCGCGCGCGTCAGCTGCCGATGTTCTCGAAGCGCGACGGCGCATGCGCGCTACATTATACAGCTAGCGAATGTTCGTGAAGAGGAGAAGCGCACGCGGTGTGTAGAGGAGGAAGGGTGCACAGATGGTGGAGGAGTGAAGCGCGCGCGGTGTGTAGAGGAGGAAGGGATGCACAGATGGTGGAAGAAGGAGGAGGAAGCTTGCGGACGGCGCCGCACTACAAGCCTCGAGTATTAGATGCTCCGCATCTAAAACTCATGATAGGGAGACGGCAACTTAGGTCAACCAATGAGATTAAATAGTTCGCAGGCATACGCATCAGCAGCAAAGCACAAGACTGGGTTCATTAGCGCATCATAGGAGAGGCCTTTCCCCTGCAGTGGGCGTAGTCGTACTGATGATGATGATGACTCTATATCTTGCTTGCTAGCTTGTTCACTGGCTTGTTTCGTAGCTCCTATGTTTTCCATCACCTTCAGTAGTATGAAGAGAGTTCAGCAAAAGCACAATTTCCCTTTTAATATAAAGTAAGCTTCTCCTGATGACTGCTAATGCATGCCATCGGTTTTCATTGTTCTGTAAACTGTCCTCTCAGATGATTGTGTACTGTTATTAGATTAGATAAAAGTTTATTTGTGCATGTAATAGGTACAGCTGATGAGGCAATAATTTTTGCATAAGAAAAAAACATTCAGCAGCATGAAGTGAATAGTGTGTCGGAGATCGGATAGTTTGCCACAGCAAACTTCCACTATACAAGGTCTGCTTCACAATCAACAATTTTAACACGTGAGCGTTAAAGAGCTTTTTCGCAGTAATTCAGGCGTTGTTGCCGACG